CCCCAAAACCCCAAAACCCCAAAACCCCAAAACCCCGTCTTAACAAAAAGTAATTGAAGTACCTAATTTATAAACTATTAAATTATTTAATACTGTAAAGAAATGAGTCAGGTCATGGAAAGGGTGAGAAAGAATAGAAGGGTAAGGATTTTGAAATTGAAGGATATTAGGGGAATAGGGGAAGTAAAAGTGGTTTTGAGCGTTTGGAGGAGAGATGAGGGGGTTTTGAGGAGGTTTGAGAGTTTGGAGGAGGGTTTAGGAGGGTTAGGGTTTTTGGAGAAGGAGTAAAGGAGTTCGGGAAGTTGAGTTACGCTTTCTTTAAGGTTTTGGAGATTTTAGGGGTTTGAGGATGATCTACTATAAATTTTACCACGATTTGCTAATTTAAAAGAAAATTTTGCTATGAATTTTTCATTGTTTAAGAGTAAAATCTTGCTTTTGATATCAGCATTTATCACCTTATTTTAGTCTTCTTTTCCCTCAACTAATAAACTTTATGAAAATATTTTATTACCACAGCCTTCTTTTTCTAATTTTTTAATATATGAATAAAATAGGAAAAATTTGAAAGCTCAGAATCGAAATGGAGTAATGAAGAATTCTTCGAAGATTTTGAAGAAGACATTTTTATACTAAATTTGAATAACGACACAAGTCAGGTATACAGCCCATCTTATATCTAGATTAAAAGAAGAATCAGCATGTTTCTAGAAGAAGAGTCTTTGAAAGTAAGTTTTGCTTACGACACTATTTTCAAAAATTTAAGAATTTTCTCTGTACTTTTTAATTTTTCTCCGAAATTTCAATTATTATTGTCAGAATCGATCTCAAACCTATCTCTTCTTCGTTTTTTATAACTAAATACCTCTAAAATCTCTCCAATCATCACACCAACCCTTCCAACAACCTCCCAACATTTTCCCTTAATTCTTCCATCCCACAAATCCTCATAAACCCCAATCACTCCTCCCCTAACCCCCTTCCAGGAGCAAGACCACAGTATATCCTCTGAACCCAGCTCAGACCAGCCCAAAATCTCTTCTCTCCAAGAGTAAGTTTACCCCACCACCATAGATTTCCCCTCAACTCCGAATCCGCCCAGCAAAGCCAAGCTTTGATTACTCCTAAGATCCCGAAGGCTAACTTCAGGTAGAGCTTCACTTAGTGCTATTGTTCACCAGCTTTTTCAGAAATTTAATAGTGGGTTTAGAAGAAGGAGGACACGAAGAAAGTGTATAGCTATGGATGGGTTTGAGGTAAGAACATTTTGGGATGTATTTTAGGGATGAATGGAAGTGAAGAAGGGTGAGGGAGGTCAGGAATTTGGAGGGAAGCAAGGTATTTTGAAGGTGGAGAAAGGTGAGGAAGAGGTGAAGGTGGGAGTTGGACATTTTTTGGAGGAGTATGTTTTTTTGGTTTATGATAGATATTTTGAGCCTATAATGGAGATGCCAAGTTTTGAAGAATGAGGATCTTGTTCAGTAATTTTGCCTCATGGTCGTTTGTTGGGTTATGAGGACGCTGTAAATTATGAGTTGAAAGAGCTTTCAAGTACTACAGGTAAAGCTTTTATTCAGATGTTATAGAACTCATAAACAGAATTCCTTATGAATTCATGAAGAACACAAGCAAAGCATTGAAATACAAACTTCAAACCCCAAAGAGAAAGGGTCAATCTGCCTTAAAAATCAGAACATTTAACCTAGCAATGGCTCTTATCGTTTTGAAAAAGAGCCATTAAGGAAAGATAATTTGATTTAAATATCAACTCTATTCCACTACTCTGGGGTTTTGGGGTTTTGGGGTTTTGGGGTTTTGGGG